TTCCTTCTCGCCCTCCTCGTCGCCGGCCATGAACTTCCAGGGCGGGCCCGGGCAGAGCCCCGGGCAGCCGGCGCCGCAGTAGAACCATTCACTCTATATTTTGAGTAGAAATGTTGGGGGGGTCGTCTAATATGCCCAGTCGCCTTGTATGCTGGCAAATACAGTAACTTCATATTGTGAAGGATGGAGCTACAGAACTAACAATGGGGCAAATTTATGTAAAAATAATCTGGATCTGCAACACAGACATTGATAAGAACGTTAGTGAGCTAAAAAATAAAAGCTTAGGATAAACAGTACTGTTGCCACTGAAATCAGCATTTTTATAACAAACCCTGCACCCCTAAGATTGTCCAGTATCACTTATCATATGAACTCTTGCTCTTACATGAGTATTCCTATTCACTCTTGCGTACACAGATGACATAGAGGAGGAGAAAGGAAGTTCACTGTTTGATGGCTACATTAGAAGGAAATTGTACAACTAAGCTAAAATAATACAGCTAAAAAAGGGGAACGAGCATGTTTAAGTGTAACATGTAATTCATAACTTAAACCGGAATATTAGGATTCTACTGAAATCTGTAATTCTTGCTCTTTTACTGTTTTAATCATGTAACTGGAGATACAAATAAGTTTACTTTGTTAGTACTGTATTTCTTAAACATACTATGTAGTTCAGGCTGAGCCACAAAAGCAGTTCCATCTACCTTCAATCTGAACTGAAAGAATTCCCAAATCTCTCAGTTGTTGGTTGTTGTTCTGCGCGAGCATTCGCAGACGCTCAGCTGCTTCACGAGGAATATTGAAAGTAACGCGTACGCTGTTCCAAGGCTCTACCTTCCTCAGTACTAACTTCTCAGATTCTTAAAGAAGGAGAAAAGAACAAATTACTACAAAGTATGCATTTTTCACTCTCTAATGCTTGTACATATGCTTATTTTGGTAAGGTAAGAGATGGCAATTTTTTCTCATTTTTATTTATTACTTTCAACAAAAAATTGTATTTTTCTCTGCAAATCAACTGTTAACATAGTCTTTCAGGAACAAATCAATATACTGTGGGTTGGACCACAAAATATACTGTACACTACTGAAATTAATTCCAAATTAAATCTTTATACAAGAATTGTCTAGTTGCTTCAGCAAGAAGCTTGCAGGTCAGATACAACAACTTGCACCATCTTAAGTAGTACATTTTAAAAGATTAGAGGCCCAAAACAGTTGGAATATAAGGATATAAACAGGAAGTTGAAATATAAGAACAATAATGTTATAAGGAAAATAATACCCATAATTGAAGAAACTAGCCACGTCCTGTTTATATATTACTGTCATAATAAGCTCTCCTTCCTTCATGTAAGGCAAACCAATCATCAAAATTCCCTGATGAACTACTATAAAACTTCCACTTATTTCTATGATTTTTATAACTGAAGCTTTATAAAGACATTTGTCAGCAGAACTGGAGTAAAATATTTTGAGGAGATTCCTTCCCTCACCTACCTTCAAGGGCTGGGAGATACCTCACCAGAAGCACTTGTTTTGTTTTAGCCTATCATAAATTTGAACAATATGATTTCTAAAGTCGAGAATCACAATAATGAAGAAAGTAGCCAGAATGTTGCGGGGCAAGTAATACAGTAGTTGGAATCCAGCCGGGCATTTATGCAAGCAGCATAATTTTTGGAAGCAAACTGCCATCAATCAAGAAATTTCCGTATGTATTATTTGTTGCATGCAGAGTCGTCCAGCTCAGTATGCAACAGATAATGCCCACAGAGATTTCTTGATTGATGACAATGCACACTGAAACATTTTGCCATTTATGTAACTGCACAACATGAATTCAGTCAATTAGTTACAAAACAGTTCACACATTTCTGAAGGTAATAATAATACTTAGGTATCATTTCAAAAGAATATTCTGTATTCTAGACATCAACAGTTGTCATTCTTTGTAGAATCTACTTATTTCTCCTCTTTGAACAGCTAATGCAGAACAAAGTACCTAGGTAAAAACTATTCAAAAGTATCTTGATGTGCCCAAAATCTCTTTCCAAGACACTTCAGTCTCTTTAGGGTAACCCCACTCTCAGAATGTGTTCTTTTTCAAACGCATAAGAGAACAGATCAATGACAAAATAAGGTAGCATTACATGCTTCAAGAATTTTTTTCAAAAAGAAAAAAGTACTAATATTACTGTTTTGTTGCTTCTAAAAGCAGTGACAGTTGCTCCTTCCTCAGACCAGTTCAATAGAGTAACAGAAATATTGAAAGAACATAAAACAGCCACAAAGTAAAATAATTCAAAAACTTCTGCCCTCCAAGACAGCAATCCATTTCTTATGCCAAAAGAAACTCTAGCAGACCATGATACTATTCTAGTGTTCTCTAGAATCACTTTAAAAGTCACTGAAGTTTTATGTGTGCAAAGCCCATTTTTAAAAAAACCACTCAATTCATCTTTAGTTAAAGGCTGCAAGTGTGAAATACCCATGTTCAGAAGGTCAGGAACACTGTTCAAGATGATGCCCAATTTCTGTTTGAAGTCTTCATCATCTATATTCCCTTTAAAAGCTACAAAGATTGTAGAATCTTCAAAAGAACTGTCATGTTTCGCATCATCTTCCTCCAGTCCAGAGTCAATATCCATCCCCAGTTCTTCCATGGTCGAAGAACACAATAAAGGGTAGTTATCTCTTAACTTATGTGTATCACCCCAAACCATGGCTACGTAATTTGCTGCGGCAGGAAATAATCAGGTATTAAGAAGAACCTACAAAAGAAAGCAAATTTAAAAATATATTGTTTAACATATGTACAAACAGACATATTTTTAAAAATGACAGGCTCATGTTAGTATGGCTTATATTTTGTTTTCAGCACATTTACATCTCAGTTCTCTCTTATGTGTTACATACAAACTAGGATTGAAATCCCATTCACCATCCATTTACAGTGGTCAGTTTTTAGGAGATAAATTTTGCCAAGTTGATGCTACTCCAGGTAGCACATAAACCAGAAATTAAGGAAATTACATTTTGTAGAAAGAGAATTATTCAATAAACTTTAGACTACTACTTTTTCTTTTTTCCTTTTAGAAAGTTTAATATTTGTCATTGTCACAACTGGCAGCAAGAGAAGTCTCCCCACAGCTATAAATACTCCCCTAGGTGTCCTACATTAGGTTTTGACTATATAGTGGTTGCAGGGTGCTTTTAAGGGAACTTTATTGGTTATCATTTCTGGGTGACTATTTTTGTCCAACCAACCTCAAAGAGTTATACAGGCAAAGTTGAAGATAAGGAACGTAAGGAAATATATATACTGCCTTGAGCTTCCTGCAGAAAAGGGAGAATATAAGTGTAATGAGGTTCCCTTCCCCTCCCTCCACAATTTTTTTTTGACACAGCACTTCTCACTCCAAGGGTAATCTAAGAGGGGGGGGGACCTGTTGTTGTTTCTCATAGCTATCCAATAATTTTAATACTTCTCCATAGTGTTAGGGCTTAATATCAGTCCCCACAAAAAATTCTGAGCTAGAAGTTAAGAACCAAATGCTTTTAGTTCAGCACTATTACAAATCCGTTCTAATGTATTTCATTTTACATGTCATTAATAAAATGATAGGACAAATTTTTAAAACGCAAAAATAAGGATGCGCAGTGCAGTCAAGACAGATAACAGGCATAGGCTCTTATAGCATTAGCGCACAAGGAAAAACTTTGATCCATCAGTCTGCCACTGAGAAACAAAATGGTGACTAACACCTGTGATGCAGAAACAATAGCCATTTGTGCTGCCACTCCCACACTCCAAAACAAGTCTTCCCAAGGTGCATGAGCTCCAGACCAACAGCTTTAGGAAGGCCTAGCAAGATGGTTCTTAGTACAAGAGCTTGCCCACCTTTCCAACACCAGTATGAAACAAATACACTTGTAAATAAAGAACTGTCAGATGGGAGTGAGGCAATGTAGAAACAGTCTGCCTCCTCTTCATGAAACTGAACACCACTTCAATTATCTATTGTACTCCATACCTCTGTTTGTGTCGCAGCAGCTAGTAAGCATGTTATCAAGTTGTTCGTCATTTTATACAGTGAGTAGAGCAATTAATATGCACATGGATCTGTAGGGAAGCAGAAAATGTTCAAGTAGATGGAAGCAGAGAGAAGCAGAACACACAGTAGTAATTTTATACATTACTTGAAGGACATAGAATCCAGCATACAGTTAGATGTGTCTAAACACCCCAGTATCATGTAAACATACCTAAATGTACTGTATTATGGCAACAACTTTAACAATGCAGTTACATGCACTATTACTGAACTTAAAGCAACACCCTTCTAAGTTTAGGATAGATGTTGCTGCAACATGCCATAAGGTTGTGTCTGACTTACGGCAGCCCTAAGGAGGAGCAAGGTCCAAAATGTCCTGTCTTCAACAGCTCTGCATAACATATTTTAAAGAATATATAAAGATGTACATTTAGAACTGTTATAATTTAAATAAAGTTACAACCCATCTATCTCATTACAGTGGAAAGGATGTAATCATGTGATTTTTTCACTCTGCTATTCAAGTGCTAAACGTTGAGAGGTAACTTTAAGATCCTTGTTCTCCCTATGTTTCTTTTCCAGAGGACTGAACAGTTCTTTAAGAAGAACACATGTTTAAATGTTATTCTTGTCATTTTCATTATGTGCCATCAAGTCGCCTCCGGCTTATGCTGACCCTATTATGAATGAGAGATCACCTAAATGTCTTATTTTCAATAGCCCTTCTTAGCTCTCGTAAACTCAAGCCTGTGACTTCTTTTATGGAATAAATTCATCTTATATATTTGGTCTTCTTCTCTTCCTGCTGCCTTCAACTTTTGCAAACATTATTATCTTTCCTGTCTTCTCATCATGTATTCAAAATACTACAAGCTCAATTTTATCATTTTTTTTCTTCCAGAAAAAATTTAGACTTGATTTGCTGTAGGATCCACTTGTTTGTCCTTCCAGCAGTTCAGGAGATCCATAAAGCTCTCCTCCGGCACCACATTTCAAGCAAATATTTTTTTCCTGCCCAGCTTTCACACCTGCACACGAGCCTCGTGGCTCAGTGGTTAAAACGCTGTACTGCAGCTAAAACTGTGCTCACGACCTGGGGTTCAAATCCCAGGTAGCCGGCTCAAGGTTGACTCAGCCTTCCATCCTTCCGAGGTCGATAAAATGAGTACCCAGCTTGCTGGGGGGGCAATGTGTAGCCTGTATAATTAAATTGTAAACCGCCCGGAGAGTGCTTGTAGCGCTATGGGGCGGTATATAAGTCCAATAAATAAATAAATAAATAATCAGGAATACAAATAGTGTGGATGATCTTCGCTTGGGTCTCTAGTGACACATTTTTAACTTGATAGTCCTCTCTAGTTACTTCATAGCTGCCCTCACAAGTCTCAGTCTTCTTCTGATTTCTTGGCTACAGTCTCCATTTGGTTTGAAACTGAACCAAGATATAAAGTCCTCATTTACAGTATTAAAGTTATGGAGACCTTCAGAGCCATGGTTTTTGCATTCTTACAGTCCTGCTTTGACATTTTCTTCTTTCTTCAAGAAAGTGTTGGGGGAGATGTGACCATCAGGGCTGTTGGCCAAATTGGAATTTTGCCCTCAGCTCAGCTGAGATCACCTGCCTCTCTTTAATATATCACAGAGGACTTCCATTTTGCTGAAAATCACAGCCTCCTAGTGCTGAGGCTGCTTAATACAATTGCTGAGAAGAGGCATTTTCAATATAGTAAGCATTGTTTCCTATGGAAGCAGTCTTAAGCAGAAGCATCTATTGCTTGTTATTAGAGATGGCACAAGTGGACACCCTGATTATCCCTTGGCACAGGTGGCCGCCCTGATTATCTCCCACCCCCAAACCCCGCTGGACCAGTTACCACGCAATGTGCACGGCTGGAGTCATTGTCACACACCAATCGTGGCAGTAGCTCAGCTGCTGCAGCCCTGCCTCCCTGTTGGCCCAGCCACTCTGTGGCTGAGCAGAGAGATTCATACTTCTGTCCCCTTACCAAAGTGGCTGGGAAAGCAGGGAGGCAGGGCTACAGCAGTCGAGCTACTGCTGTGATTGGCACAGCGACAATGACGCTGGCCACATATAACGCAGGGTGCGCGGTAAGTGGTCCGGTGGAATCTGGAGGTGGGACATAATCAGGGCGACCAACTGTGCTGGAGGGCTTTGTATTTGTATATGAATACAAATCCCCCATCTCTACTTGTTATCCATGGCCTCCCTGCTACAACATGTTTTTTTTTCTTCCGAAGCTGTGCTTTTAATAATACTGTACTAAAGTGAGTCGTAAGATCGAATTCATGTGACGGAGTGAGCTCCTGTCGCTTGTCCCAACTCCTGCCAACCTAGCAGTTCGAAAGCATGTAAATAAGAGTAGATAAATAGGTATCACCATGGTGGGAAGGTAATGGTGTTCCATGTCTAGTCGCGCTTGCCACGTGACCACAGAAACTGTCTATGGACAAACGCTGGCTCTATGCCTTGGAGATGGGGATGAGCACCGCGTCCTAGAATCGGACACAAATGGACTAAATGTCAAGGGGAACCTTCACCTTTACCTAAAGTGAGTACTTTCTGGAGAGGGCAAGTGTCTGGAAAGGCCATAGCAGGGAATATTAAGTAAATGCAAAGAGGGTAATATTTTATTCAATCACACAGATGTTGGTAAATAAGAAAAACAGCCTACCAGGTGATCCTGTATCAGACGTTGCATGTTTTAAGCTGACTTAAAAAGTCTGAGCCATAACAGCATTCAGGTTGCGACTCTGCTACGGCAGACTGTGAGTCTGATCCTGTGAATTCTTCAAGCTGAGAACAATCTGCAAATGGATCCAGTTTTCTTCTCTGCTATACAGCAAAGCAGCACCTAGTTTAACAAGATACTTTTATGAGTTCCTGGTAAGTCAATATATAAATCAATAGAGAAAGTCAATATACACAGTACAATTTTATACAGGGTGTTAATCAAGCAGCAAATTTTTAGAAATGTTTTTTAAAAACATGTACCAGTTCAAGATTACATAATACCAACCCCCAGCTATATCCTGGATCCTCAAAATATAGCTAAGATTCTTTTGATAGAAAATGTGAAGTTTAGGGTGAAAAAAAGACAGAAATGGGCAGGGTCTTCTCATCTAAGAAAATGCACACTGGGATAAACTGAACACCTCTGACAGTGTTATTCATATTGCACTTGTAGGAATGACTAATTCCCACTGTTCTGTCATTGCAACAATGAGTGATGTAACTTTTTTGTGTTTTCCATTTCTCAGAGTAACCTCTTTTTTGGATATTTATTGATCTTTGCCTTCATATTACCTTGTAATGTTGCAAGATGCCTCCTTGTTCATTGTTTGTAGTTTATTTATTTATTTATTGCATTTATACCCCGCCTATCTAGTGAAAAACCACTTTTAAATACTGTCTTTTAATTATGTTAACCACTATTGTATGATCATTGTTTTCAAGTTTAAATATTGTCTTTCATTGTTGTAAGCTGCCTTGGTCCTTTTCAAGGAGAAACGAAGGGTAAAAATATTTTAAATAAATAAATAAATACTTTGTGAATTTCTTTAGAAACTGGCCATAATGTTCCATGCTATTCTTTTTCTAATAACAATAACAGCAAAGTTGGTAGGAGAAGACTAGGAGAGAAGATTCTGGAACCTTTTCCACCTTGAACTAATCACAATCATTTTCTGACAATAAAAATCATATTCCAACCCAAATCCAGAGACAACTTGTCACACTGCATTAAGTACTGACTGCTTTTGCATTTTTATGACCATTTGGTAGATTTTGAAATTTGTTTTCTGCCAGAACAGCTATCCTTGCTTTTAGTTAAAATATCTGAAGCTGGAACTCATTGGTCAAAATCCTGTCCGTTACACTTAATATAACTGGCATAAATCGAATTTGTGAACTGACACTATTTTGGAAGTTAACATAGGCATTTACTGTTGTGTAATAAATCACAGACAGGGTGGATAAAAATCAATGTTTTTAAATGTCAAATTGATTTAAATCAAGGTTTAAATTTAAAAATCATTTTTAATTTAAATAATCAAAAACTAAATTTTTAAAATTTAAAAATCCATCTTGATCACATGACATAACACACAACAATAAATGCCTATGCTGACTTAACCTGTGGTAATTCACTAACAAGATTTACATCAACTATGTTACATTGACATTAAACAGGATTTTGGCCACTAATATGTCTACTAAACAACCTTTTTTAAAAGGCTAATTGAATTTTTTTTCTGGGAAAGTTTGAGTTTTACTTTTAATTAGTACATGATTATCTGAAAATCTGGCGTTTTTTAAATCTTGTTCTTAATTTCTAATTCAACTAGAACATTCAAGGTACATATAGCTATCTATATAGAAGGCTCTCTGTGAAGAAACTGAGAAAGTGGGGAAACACAAAGCATGGAATCCATCTGGAAAATTCAGACTTCTCTGCCAGAGCCTGGAAAAGGCTGGCTGGGAGTGTGGAGGGCAGTGTCTGTCCAGTATGGAGTAACATCTGCAGTTTATCTCCTGCGAATGAGGCCTTCAAGGCCAACTCAGCTTGTCCCCTGGTACTGTGCTAATTGGAAAATTATTTCAACTGTGTGAAAGGAGTAGACAGAAAGTGTTTTTGTCTTTGTGAGAATTCGAGGGAACTCAAAGCCTGGCTGGCAGACCATCTGGAAGGGTGCAAAATGCGACATTTAATGAAAAAAAGCACTCTATGTATGCTTCAGAACCATGCTGACTCTACACTGATGCATGAGGAATAGGTAGCTTAGCTTTGGTGTGTTCTCTTGACTGCCAATACAGACTATTAGCACATGTGTAAACTACTTAATACAGTGCAGCAAGGAGTTAAAGTATTTCCTCTAATGCAAAAACCTATCTGAAATTCCAAGAGATAGAATATTACAGAAAATCACAATATGCACTTCACTTAAATTCTACAACAAATTACAGATCAACTTCAGTCCAAATTATATATTGCCTGGCATTCCAGAAATCTGCACCCTTTTCCAGTGCAAGGGGGGGGGGAACAAATTGTAGCATTCGGAATACTACAAAACAATCTGGATTCTAAAAGGCTTTTACATAGTAAGGACTATTTGTAATAGTCATCTAATCTCCAGTGGTGGCCAGAAATTCCAGGTTGTGTGAGTAGAATTCCACACACACACACACGTGCGCACAAGTGAAAGAGCTGCAAAGGACTGTTTTGCCATCACAAACCTCCTGTATTTCTTATCTGCATTTTAAAACTAGTCTGCTTTTTACTCATAGGAAGGCTCCTAATTCCTTTTATAAGAAAAAAAGCAAGCAGGTTTTAAAAAACCTGCAGACAGTATCTTCTAGGGTTTAGTAACAATGCTGTCTTGCTCCCCAGACACTTCCCAAAGTAAAGAGCCCCTTTTGGTAACCTGGCAGCTTGTTGGTATCATGGTAAGAACACAGCTGTATCTTAATTCTACTGTACTTTGTCAATGTTCTATAGATAAATGTACTCAAGACCAAGATATCATACAAATGGCATCCATTATGCTAACGTATAGGAACACACAGTGCACAGAAATGTACACCAAATAAATTCCTCTTTTTATCATTAAAATTCAGTTGTTTTTGGCATTTATGATTTTGTTGTTGAAAAGTTCTGTTTACTGTACTGTAAATTTAATCTCAGAATTAAAAGGCATCAAGGACATAAGGAAGGGAAAGACCTATGATTTTCTGTACAAATCCATTATGTATGATATCTGATACTGACTATGAAACTTTTACTTCTCCGTTAACATCTTACATACTAGAATATAGCAACAGTATCCTCCTGTGTACAGTTATGGGATAATAACTATCAAAATCCCTCTTCTTACAGCACAATACTACAGTGAATATTTTGAATACTACAAGGGCTTATGCTTTAACAGAAATAATACCCAGAAAGACACAGGGAAGAAGTTCGTATACTCTTTTTTCCAAAGCCTCGTGCAATGGAAAGGCATGAAAAAACAGTAAAGGTTAAGAATTTGGCATGCAATCATAAATAAGTAATTCTCATTTTTATTTCTATTTCTTTATTTCAATTTTACTTACCTTTACTACTACATTTTTTACCTCATCTCCCTCCCAAAAAAGAAAAGATAAACTATACTTCTTGCCTGGATCAGATCAAAGGCTTATATACTGATTTTCAAAGCTGCCAATTAGATGTCTACTGAAAAATCACAAGCAGAGACAGCAATCATCTTCTGATGTTGTCATATAGCAACTGGCAACACAGGCATGCTGCCCCAATGTTAGAAGTAGCATATAGGTATCATGCCATGAGGAATTCATAGCAATAAATACAAGTTTCCTGGGCAATCACCTTCAAGCATGTATCTATTTAGTTTTAGCAAGATTGCTATGTGTATCTTCAGCCCACAGCCAGAACAATTATAGAATGTGTAGCCCACTGACAACCCAAACTGGCAAACTTTTTGAAAGTACGTATCCATCTGCAAAGCTACACTAACAACCAGATAGACTAAACATATTTGAGGGTACAATATTATGGTTTACCTAGGAAGTAGCAATGTTGTTAAAATTACAGTACAGTAGATTTAATCTATTCTGCAATCTATTTTATACAGAACATTATTGCCACTGTAAGTAAATTAGTACCATCTATTTTAATTTATATACTGTGGCTGAAATCCTGTTGCCAGATGTTACTCAATATGATGTTGCTGACATCATTAGCCACAGCAATATTTTAACAACAAAACATTTCCAATCTCCCCCCCTCTTCAAGGCCCTGAGACTTCCACAGGATCCTTTTCAGTGAGGGGAAGTTGTGGGAGCAATCTTTAATGTCTAAGAATCACCACCAATGGGATGATTTTACTGTCAATAGCACTTTTTGGAAATTAAAGACTCCCCTTCCCCATAACAAAAGGGATCCCACAGGAGCCTCAGGATTTTTGGAGATGGGTGGGTCAGAATTTTTTTATTTCAAAAATAATCACCATAGCTGATGATGTCATCAACCTTATACAACGTGTATGTTATAGAACGAATTAAAGTTTATATTTCCTGTCAGGAAATGGCTTGAAGAAGCTCATCTCACAACTGATTCCAGTCTTAGATCACTTCTACAATGTTTACGGTAGAATCAGCTTATTTTTTTCCAATACACTTGTAACAAAGGTACGCACTTCCCTCCTTCGAACTCACCCCAGCATACTTCTCAAAGGAATAGTGCACATCATAAATGCTGAAGATGTCATCAGCAGGTGATGCTAAACTTTAAATTAATTTAACATTTCCCATCTCCCTCTTGCAGGTTTTGAGGATCCCTAGGGATTTCTTCATGACCTGGGGAAGCCTTTGGAAGCATTAGGAAAAGAGGGGAGCAAGAGTCCAGTCTAGAAACCCCAGGTGCAAGCAGTAGCATAAGAGGCAATAAGAGAGACGTGTATACCTCTAAGAGGATACATTTGGATTTGGAAAATGAAAGGTCAGGGACACGAATGTGTCATAAAATAATGGCCAAACGTCAATGTAACTCATACATTAACTTTCTCTTGTTACACAGATACTTTTTAAAACTATAGACTTATCTGAATACATTCATGTCAAATAGCATCGCATAGTAAATTCATAAAGAAAATTATTTTAAATTCTCACTCTGTTTCATCCAATTACAAAATGTGTACTGTTTCCTAAAACAGAAATAGTTAGCTACAGTAATAATGAAAAGTATCAAACAAGAATTTGTTTTAATTGAGACAGAATTGGTTATTAACAGTTTTTCTTAAGAATTTGTCCAAAACTATGTGCTTCATATTTATGAACTGCAGCTCCTCAGCAATG